GCCAACATCGACCTAGATGAATATCTACTCCAACTTCTAAGAAAAGAAGTCAGAGAATCGCAGTAATTGTTAAAGGTATGGGGGACCTAAGAGAAGGAAATAGGAAACGTATACGGCGTAAGTGAGAGGAATTAGGACTAACTACTGAAATAGGACGAAAGCCGTTTTGTGGTTGGTCATCTCGTTTATCAACCGGCGTGCCTCGCAAGCTCGAACTGCACATAGTCTCCCTTCGAAACATTTAAATAGGACTGACTTTCCCCCTTCTCAAAATGTTATTGTATCAGAGAAATCATTGTTTATATCTCTAGCTTCCATGAAACTCATATGTATATGTACATATACCATATATGCTAGCACAACTTTGTCCGTCCCTTGCTTTCCATCATTTCAATCCCTCGCATACCTATTGCTTCACAAGCCTCTCCGCCCAAGAACTTCTGTTTCCAACCATGCCATCTGATCGATCACCATCCCCAAACGTTGCGAGAACCCCAGGGGTATTGGCTGCTGCCAACGAAAAGTTCTTTAGGTAGGATCAGAACATATAGCCCAACGAACTCACCACCCACTCCCCCATCAACTCATCAACCGCCGGACGCTTAGAGAACTTATTCCAAACCAACCCAATCTAGTAACTCTGCCGAATACATCTTCAAGGAGCCATGGGTCCTAGACTTCCACGCGAAGCTGCGCGCATATTTAGAGAAGAACATTGATTGGTTGGGCATTGCCAATGATCATGGACAAAGCATTAAAGTTGCAGAGAGGAAAATGCTGGATTATGCTTGCGGAGATGGATTTTTGACAAAAGTAAGTTTTGGCTTAGCTTTCGACTTGTGATGCATATAACTAGTGGATGTTTTGTATATGCGGTGCCACGCTTTCCCTGATCCGAAAAGATGTACCAAAAACTTACCATTCCAAAGATTTACCAGCCTTTTTTTACCAAATATGTTGGCATCGACATTGCTCCCGGCATGGTTAAGAAGTACAACGAGACTGCCCTGCATCTAGGTCTTTCTCAGGAGAAAATGTACGCAGTGAAGGGGGACCTCTCGTCCGGTTCTACCCAAGAATTCTCCAAACCAGAAGATGTTCCGACAGCCGATCTATCTCGGGAGGAGTTCTTCAACTTCGATTTCGCGGGGGTAGCCCTGGCGCTACACCACATGGAAAACCCGGAGGCCGCGATTGTGAATTTGGTAAAGAGGTTGAAGAACGATGGCGTGCTATTGGCCATAGACTTGCTACAGCCAGAGGAGCCTTCGGAGCCGAAATGGGGGGAAAGGAAGGGCTGTAATCACCATCATCATCATAGCTGCCATGATGATAGCCACGGCCACAGTCACGATCATACCGATGCTGCTACCACTTCAAGCTCCCTTCAATCCGGAGGGGACACTATTTCTCACGACCACCCGACTTTTTCACTTGAGCGAATGAAGAGTATGTTTGCTCGTGCTGGGCTGATTGATGTAGATATCATCCTGTCTGACTGGAAGTTGGAGTTACCAATTGTGGAGGATCCGAATACGAAATTGCTCTTTGCGAGGGGGAGGAAGCCGCAAGTCTGAGGTTCTGGAATCATTAAGAGAAGCGTGTTCGGGAGGCTTGAGAACTTGGAACGGACCGCTGTCAGGGTGTGTTTTGATGTCGCATTTTAAATTTTGAAATTGATACGAGATGTCTTTTCTTGGAGTAGTCTTGCGGAGGCCTTCTACAATATCTTGAAAGGGTGATGTAATGAAGAGATGTGTGGATACTAGGTCAAATATAGGCCTGCACCAGATATTTCATATCGTAGTCGAACAATAAGTGATTGTTTAAATCAAAGTCCATTTTTGACCACTTGTAGTGTCCACAATGCATTTGGAATACAGACACCAGACACCAGACAAATGCTGGTAATTTAACTACCTAAACATTGTAAAAAAGGCTCAGAGAGGGAGGAAGATCGAGCTTAAAAAACGTGTGTATGAAGCATACCAATGATGTGTGGCACTACTAGATGTATACATTACGCGTAACGGAGAACGCATTTATTGCTACTAAATCCATATCTATATGCTAGTTGGGAAAACGTCAAGGCACATGGATATACAGTGAAGTGGAACGTTGAAATGCGCTTGAAACGTGATGATAAGTATATCGCGAATCCAACCAAAAAAAAAAAAAAAAAAAGAAAAGAAAAGAAAAAAAGGAAATAGAGAGGAAGGAGGCAAGGAAACAAAAGTCATCGACGCAAGCGGATATAGCGGTATCATATATATCGTATTTATGTCCATAATGCGGAAAGGGGATGATAATTCAACAAAAATCGAGCTACAACCTGCCTGATGCAAACACCCATATAACAATGGAGCAAAGAGATGAGCATAAGGATATTCATACCGCTATAGAACTCTCAAGAACTGCAACAGAGATACCCGATTTCAAATGGGTATGAAAGGGCTACTCGAGCATATGTCCCATTTTCCCGATCTGAATGTAGAGATGATTATTAGTTATGAAACAGAAAAGGATGAAAAGGTACAAGAGAATAGGAAAGGAAACGCTGTACGCAGTAAGACATGAAACCACTCACTTTAGTCCTCAGATACTCCTCAATTTCCGAACTCCGGATGCCTTTCTGTCCGCCTGATCGCCATGCCAGCGGGATCATGGGAACTCTCTCCTTCACAATGACTTCACGATTGGGACCTTCAACAGCAATGACTTTATCCGGGTTATTCGTTAATAAACGAATCCCATTATTGTTCTGGGAGTCAGCTCCCAGCCCGAGATCCACAAGCATCGCGGTTGCCAAACCATAGCTGCGAGCATCTGCAGGGTGTCGAAGTATAAGATTGGCCTCAACGGTGTCGTTCCCCAGATCTTGCAAATTGTATGCCTTCAGCTTTTCGCTCAGGCCAATGCCACGGCTCTCCTGGCGTAGGTATATAATCACGCCACCGGCGCTCTGCGCATGGGATGAAGTGGCCTCTGACATTAACCTTGCTGCTTCGTCTAATTGCTCTCCGCAATCACACCGTGC